TAATATATATATATATATATTATATATATATATATATATTATATATATATATATTATATATATATATATTATATATATATATATAATATATATATATATATTATATATATATATATTATATATATATATATTATATATATATATATTATATATATATATATTATATATATATATATATTATATATATATATATATATAATGTACATATGTATATATATATAAAGTAATATAATATATATATATATATATATATATATATATATATATATATATATATATATATATATATATATATATATATATTTACACATAACACACACACACACATATATATTGTGTGTGTATTTATTTATATACACATAAATGCATACACATTTTTGAGTAATATTCCTTCATATATTGCTTTCTAGTTATCAGCTTCACCATTCAGGAAGTGAGAAAAGCTTTTATGCCTGGGTCGGGGTCTTGGGCAAAGTGGCTTTCCTCCAAGCGCCGCGGCCAAACATGCTGGCGCCTTCAGCAGCACAGGGAATTAGCGCGAGCAAGGTTGCAATATCATTTTGCAGCTTTTTTTTTTTTTTTTTTTTTTGCACGCAGAAACGGATCGCAAATTCACCGAAAAAAATGGGTTCCTGACTGACAGCGGATTCAGGATTTCAGTTTTTTTTCCCCTTCACTTCATGCGATATATTTTCAAGGTGACAAAAAATTCGGGAAAGAATTACAAATTATCTGAGGGGGGTGGGGGTGGGGGGTTGCATGGCAATGTCGAAATAGGGAAAGAAAGAAAGAAAATATATTTCATATTTTCTGAAAATAATCGAACCCTCGTTGCTTTCCATTGACAAATCGTAACTGACTATACAGAGCTTGCAAAATGTCAAAAACAACATAACAGTCAGTAGAACAATACAATTGTGTGCTGGGGTCATTGTTTTTATTCGTACAGTCGTGTGCTGGATTGTGTCTGTCTGTATGCATATGTATTTGTGGTATTTATATGTGTATATATGTATGCGTATGTATGTATGTGTATATATGTATATATATATAGGTATTTGTATATGTACATATGTATATATATATCTGTATATATACATTTATGTATGTATATATGTATATGTAAATGTATATATATATATATGTATATGTATATATATGTATATACATGTATGTAGTGTGTGTATGTGTATGTGCGTGTGCGCGTGTGCATGAGAGTGGGTTTGCGTGTGTACACTGTACATTGCATATATATAGAAGAACCTTAAATATAGTATATGTGCCCATACATTTGGTTTATTTCGGTTATGTATTTATGTAATCTACCCGGTATGTTGATTCATCAACAAAATTAATCAATTAAGCTACAATGGTCCTAAACATATCGAAGAGAAGACAGCTTCTCTATAATACTTCTCCAATAACTTTGCATAATAACAATGTATCTCAGGCAGAGTGAGCATACAAAGCACCAATCTTTATTAACACAAAAGTCCAGGACAGGAGAATTATGATACTAATATGAATATGTTCTTTTAAACACACACATACATACCTATGTACATCAATATATATATTAATATACATAGGTATATATATTTATTTATTCATGATTGTATAATAATCCTTTTGCATGTCAATATTACTTTTATAATTTATATACTCATAATACTACTACTAATATGAATATTGATTGATTATCATTAACAATTTTCATACTACTTTTGTTAGTATTACTATTATTACCATTATCATTAGTAATGCTCGTTATTACCAATAATAATATTATCATTATTGTCATCACTGCTGTTCAAGCTGTTATTGCTATCATAAATATTGTTACCACTATTAACACTGCAATTAATGACTATAATAATGATAATAATATTCAAATTATACAGCTCATAATTACAATAACTGTAATAATGATGATGGTGATAGTGACCATGATGATAATGACAATGATGACAATGATACCGCTAATAATAATAATGACCAACGGATATTATTCAGAACGATAATAATAATTCATTATCATAATGGTAACTCACAAAAAAATAAATATAGTAAATTTAGTCTTTGATGATAGTACTGTAATGCAAATAATAATTACAAGTATAACCACAATAACAATACGAATAAGGGTAAGATTAATGATAGTAAGGCTTCCTAATCACTAAATCATGTAATTCATTAACTGCATAATACGTTATATGTTTTGTATATACACAAGCTTCCTTTTTTTTCCAAACCTGCATAACAGTCTCTTCCAAAAACGTTCATTAAGTTATTCAGTTTGAAAATAATCACATTCCTGAACATTTTCTGGACTGAATACTGTCCTCGCTAACCGCACCACAGCTTCCATTAAAATAGAAATAAGAAAGAAAGAAAGAGAAAGAGAGAGAGAAAAAAAAGAACATCGGGGGGACATGCGTTCGAATCAGTTCACACGCAGAGCTATTTTTCATCACATTTTCATAATCTTAATAAATCTTTT